GCTCCACGGCGGCCGGCCTGACCCGCAGCAATGCAGGCAGGGCAGGGCGGGCAGGAGGAGGGTGGGAGATGCCGCGGGAGCACAGGGTGACCCCCTGCCACAGGCACCCTGTTTGGCTGGGACAGGCTGGGGCTGCTGTGAATGCAAAGGGGGCAAATTGCCTTTGCTCACGCTTCTGCCCCACCTCGGTGCTGGGAAGGGGTGCAAGGAGCCGGGGCAACCCACAGCCGGGTCCAGAACTCAGCAGTGGGTGCAAGCCCAGAGCCAGGAGGGGTAGGGCTGGATCACAGCTCTCTCCCAAAGTTGCCATCCTCACATGTGCTTTCTCCTTCACCCACAGCAGTGCCTGGAAGCAAGGCAGCCATCTCAGCCCCACTTCCCTTACCTCTGAGCCTTACCTCAGGGTCCCCGCAGCACCCAGGAGGCTCTGGCTGCAGGCTGCAGCACCCCCCCAATTCATTAGTCACTGAAAAAACATTTATTGACTAATTAGGCACAGGCAATCTGTCCACTCGGGCTGTGCCTCCAGCAGGATTAGGAAGGCTGCCAAGTGGCTACAAATGAGGGCTGCTAATTACCAGTAATTCCCCTGTGCCTGTGCAGGGGTGCAACAAAGGTGCCGCTCTCTCCCTCCTGGATATAACAGTCACCAGGCAGTGGAAAAGATTCAAAATTAGGGATTTGGTGCAAAGCCAGGGTCTGAGGCTGGATGGGGCCAGGTTTTGTGTCCCTTCTGCTGTTCTTCCTTATCTGCACCTCTGTCCATCTGCTTTAGCTCCATCCCAGCCCTGCTCCTTAGCATTGAAAGGGCATCAGGGGAGTGTTTAACGCTATCCTGGCCTGAGCCCACATCTTCCAGTCTAACAACAGCTGGACATCTCTCTGGTGAGGTTATTTCCAGGGTCACCTCTTATGAGGGGCTGTCAATGCTTTGGTGTCTTTCCTCACGCCCAGCATTCACCCTGAGCTCTGGCTCTTGGCACAGCTGTGCTGCCAGTTTTGGTGTCCTGGAACAAGGTCCCTGCTGCAGGAGAGTGGACACGGGCAGGACCTCCCCAACAGCACACAGGGAGAGCAGACAGGCTGGGCCAGCGAATGGTTTTGATTCCTGAGGATCTCACGCCTCCCTGAAATAGGAGAAGTTAACGTGACACTCCTGAAACAGCTCCCGGTACAGCCAAGGACAAACGCCGCTGCTGTCCCTGAGCATTAACACAGCAGAAGGGGTCACTGCACCGCATCTTCCTTCACGAGGGGCTAAGGGCCCTTTTCCAGGGACGGGAGGGTACGGCAGATGCCGCCTCCTGCTGCTCTTGACTTGGGAGGGAGGCAGCAAAGCCATTTTGCAGACAGCGATTTGTATCTTCATATGGGCTATAAATGCTCATCTCGTACTCCCAGCTTTGTGACCCCACATATCATCCATCACATAGCCTGGTAGATGGGGTCCGATCTCTTGGGATATCAGAGAGCTGAGGAAAAAAACCCAAACAGGTCCAATGCAAAGGCTCCTGCCTTTGTGGATGTTTGAGCAAGCCTTTAGGTGCCCACCCAAGGGTTTCTTCTTACCCTGCCTGCTCTGTCGCTTCTCTCTCCAGGGCAGAAGTGTGAACTTTGGCTCTGTGGATGCGTCTTTACCTTGGCTGACGTCTTGTTAGGAGCCACTCTGCACCGCCTCAAGTTTCTGGGACTCTCTAAGAAATACTGGGAAGATGGCAGCAGACCTAACCTACAGTCCTTCTTCGACAGGATACAAAAACGCTTCGCCTTCAGGAAAGTTTTGGGAGATATACATACCACGCTCCTCTCCGCAGTGGTACCCAATGCCTTCAGGCTGGTCAAGCGGAAACCTCCCTCCTTCTTCGGAGCCTCCTTCCTGATGGGATCTCTGGGGGGAATGGGATATTTTGCTTATTGGTACTTAAAGAAAAAATACATCTAGTGCTGGCTGCTTGGTGTTTAGTTTGGTGTCTCTGTGCTGTGTGAAATTATGATGAAGCCTCAGTAACTGTAATGAAATTTGAAGCAAGGTAATGAATAATTATATTGTTTAATGTAACATTCCATAGTCTAGAAGTAGAAACGTATACTGCAAGGAAATAAGACAACAACAAAAAACCCGCGTCAACTTGTAAATGCCTTTTTTAGGTTTAAGTATTCAACTCCAGCGAGAGGCTCAGGGGTTCACGGGCTCTGCCGTGCCCACTAGGAAGCGCCGCCGCCTCTAGCACCAGCCGGCTCCAGTGGGAGAGACGGGAACCCCGGGAAGTTTCCCAACACCCCAGTTAACTAATGGGACTCGGATACTCGGTCCCGTACGTTTGTGTTTCCAAATTGTTCACCGGCCACATTTCACACATGCAGGTAGTGGGGACTTTCTTCTTCTAGAACGTGTCGTTGTCGTTGTGCTTGGAGGCTTTCCTGGGAGCAGGGTGCAGTAGCTGGTCACAGTCAAGGTGGATTTGTGTTCTTCAAGTATCCATTTTTTAAATTATTTTCATTAAAAGGAGTATTTTTTATTGAGCTGCTCTTAGAATGTATCCACTTTCTACGTCTGGTTTTGGTGGGCTTTTTTTAAAAGAATTCAGTGTCTGTCTTTAACTGCCGCACTTTTTTCCTGAGATAAATAATTTTGACTTCCATCCTGAATTTTGGCCCATGAAGGAGATTATTGTTTTGAGCCTTTTGGCTCCGTCTCTTGAGTTTTCTTTCACGGATTTGCAAAGCATCTTTCACCGACTGAACATATCTGGACTCTGAAAAAGTACAACCATTTTCAGAACTTTTCAGCACTTTCCTGAAGGCACTTTGGCTTTCTCTTCCATCGGGGGCTCTTTTCTGTCATTTCCTCGCTGTGTGTTTTCTTAGAGACACTTTGCACAGAATCACGTTGATGACTTTCTTGTGCCTTTTGCATGTTGGAAAGAATAACGGGCCTCACTGCTACTCATGCTTTGAAAACTGAGATCCTCAATAAACCATATGGGAGGAGTAACTGCTTCACATTTCTAAATGTTCAACATCCTTCTAGTCTTATTTCAAAGCATGCCCATGGGCTGAGGGATGGGCAGGTGGTTTGTGCTTTTTCTCATGTACTGCGCTGCTATAAAACTCGCATGGAAACAGCACGTATTCCTCTTCCAAAGCACTCGTTTCTGTAAGCGCTCAGCCTGCTAGGATCTCCTCTGGCTGCTTTTCCGAGCGTTCCAGTGATCCCTAGCAAGTCATGCTGCGTCTCCAGGCTCAGGAATGTATGCCAAGTGTGGCTGAAGTAATACAAACTGCATTTGCCTCTGACTCAAAAATTATCTTTATGTATTTGAAAGCAGCAGGATTTCCCAGGAGCTTCAGTTCTGATACAACCTGGCAGCCATAGAACTGGGAATATTTAGCAGGAATTACAAGGGACGAGCACATAGGGATTACACAACGCAAAATGCACAAATTTATGCTGGGCTTGTCACAATTGGGTAGGCTGGTGTGACGTACTTCTGGAATACAGTGACCTGTGTCGCTGCAAAGGTGCTGGGTCACCCAGGTCAGCGCCCAGTGATTAGGGCCACACTTCACACTGGGGCGTGAGAACCCAAATCCACTACCTGCGCACGCAGACCAGGCACCTGCCGCTGAGGCTGCTGCGTCGAACATGACACACACACACACACACACTCCCCCAAATACAGTCACATATTTGCTTCATGGTATCGGTGACTTTGCAAGAAATAGTTATTTTCCTTCTTTTTTAAGAGGGACGCAAGAGGGTGCCCTGAGGTCAACCATTTTGCTGAATATACACAACTATCTGTGGTTCATCTGGTCCATTGGCTGATACCAAATTCCCCCCAAGAAGTTAAAGATACACTGACATGAAACCATTACTAGGATTTCTTCCTTTTACCTTTGTCTGTTCTCCTACACCTACATTCCGTGGTGATCTCCACAAGCTGCTGAAATGCACATGCCAGGCGTAGAAAAGAGTATTAATGGGGGTACAAGGCCAGGAAACCCAGGGGGAATGAGAGCAAATACTCAGTTCCCAGGACTTCAGCCCGAGAACGAGGCAGGGGGAAGTTTAGCAAGATTGCTGCTGGTTACTTTGCTCCTTTTTTTTTTTTTTTTTTTAAACCAAAGAATAAATTTTAAATCATGGAGCAAACCAGAACTCTAAACACTGGAGAAAATAGGTGTTTGTTTTGTTTTGGTGCATGCTGCTAAAATGCAACTATAAGAAGGAAGCCAGACGGAGGCAGCAGCTGGAAAAGGGCGCGGGCCGGTTCAGACCAACACGTGAGAGGTGTCGGTCATTTCGCTTAATGGGCTGCTGGAAAGCCACAGATGCCGTAGCAATGAGTTTTGTACAGGTTCTCAGCTACAAATATTCACTAACAAGCCTTTGTTTTGGAGCAAATGAAAACAAAAAAGCAAAAATCAGTGAAGACAGTGCCACTCCCTGTTACTGAGCCTTGTTTCCCTGCTGTGGCAATGAAAAAAATACCAGGAGTTTGCTCCAGGGAAAAGCAATCTGCGAAGGCGATAAAAGACAATTGCTGTGACAGGCAGAGGCTGGACTGATGTTCAAGACCACACTGAAATGAACCGGGAGATGAATGTCACCACCCCGATCGATCCAGATTAGTGAGTCACTATAAACAGCCCTGTGGTAATTACAGGCTGTCATCATAAAAAGTTGCTTTTGCTCTAGCTGATCTGAGCCTAATCACGCTTTTTCTGCTCTAGTTCCATTGCAAAGGGGACACCACTGCACTACACGGCCGTAAGCCAGGCACTGGCCTCGTGTTCGCTGCCCAAGGTGCTTTCTGTAAACAGAAACATGAAAATGATAGCAAAAATCCGTTCTCTCACTCCAGGACTTTACACTTTGCTCTCAGCAAGGTGTGGGGTAACAGCAGCACCCAAGGGGTAAGGCTGGAAGGTGAGGCACCTCAGAGACAGTGTTTGGAGCACATGTCTGCTTGGGGACACCTTACAATTTGCTGCTGAGCAATGCTGTAGCAGCTGCTATCACTGAAGCAGTGGCTTGGCTGCTCTAGACAACAGAGGGAATGGCTTGTGCTGTATCTTGCACCAAATAGTTCTGTGTACCTGCTCCGATCCCAGTTAGGGTCCTTCTCAGGCTTTACCCTACATGTACTTATTTACCCAAGCAAATTTTTATCCTTCAAAATGTCTGTGTTTGAGAGGCAAATGTGCTTTTAGGCACCTCAGGGCCTTAAAATCTGTATCTGTGCTGAAATGTGGACATTTTAATTATCAGACAGTAGAAAACCAAGGGCTGCTTGTCAAGTCCAAGCCCTTCTGAGCACCTCTGAGATGGAGCTTCATGACACCGAGCGAGCTCACAAGGATCGGTCACTCCCACTCCCTCCTCCCTCCCAAGCCTCCTGTTTAATAGGCTCCCAACGGTCAGATTTGTAGAACTACAGCTTCTGAAATCTTTTTACTCCTACGGGTTTTGCTCAAAAGACTCAATTATGAAAACTGGAAGTGTACGTGTCAGTCTTGCAGCAGGCTGGCAGATTTCCCCTTTGCTCGTCAAGTGGTGGAGAAGATCTCTCCATGCAGAATAGAGGAGTTTGAAACCAAGCCTGCCAGAGGACAGGGAGCACACCACAGAGCTTGTCTGTCACAGGTTGCCAAAGAAATCGAGATCAAGGTCTGCCTAAGAATACCTAGGGACCACCTCATGGCCCTGTCAGAAATTAATTGCCAAGGTTTCCTCTGTTTCTGAATGAAGAAAACATCCTTACCACCCAACTGCAATTTCAGTATCCTGGCTAAGGACGAAGGAGGGATGGTGTAAGAGTCGCCTTCAAGTGAGGGGAAACTTTCTTTCTGCTGTGAAAATAAATGACAGACTTCTCCACATGGGAACAGCAAACATAAAACATTAAAGCTTGTGGAAACACTTAACATCAGGTTGTGTTTTGTGGCATTCACTGCCATCATTAAGATCAAAGCCAAAGCCACCCAGACTGGATCCACAATGTAGGCAATAAGAGCAACTAGAATTCTCAGGTTCCTGAGAGATATATGGGATTAAAATAATATGGGATAAAATGACAACAGTATCTTGAGATGGCCAGGGATAATAAAATATATAATAACATGGGATTAAATACTAAATAACCAAAGAACCAGGAAACAATGCACAACCTAAGAGCCAGCTACTGAACTCCTCACCTGCAGTTATCTGTGGCACAGTGGAGGATAAGAGGGTAATTCCACACCTGTTCACGCCATCAGCAAAGCTGCTCTTACTACGCAAGTCTGTAGAAAAGCTACTTCTGCCTTGGTGGGACAGAATAAAGTCCCCAGCCCATGTTCAGCAGCCTGAGCCCAGAGAAAAGTTCAAACCCACAGGTAGGAATGGGAATGAAAACATCTGCATCAGGATGTTGTGAGCAGGAACAGATTTCCTACCTCTAAAGGATTTCTCTGAAGCGTGGCCTCAGAGATCAAATTATAGAGGTTGCAGACCAAGCCGTTTCTAATACTGAATCTAAGGTTTTAAGCAGTAGCAAAAACACACTGGAACTTGTGTTGTCAGACAAAGCTCATTCATGACAAACAAATTCCCTATTTTTTCCCCTCGTGCTGATTTCCGAATGTGCCCAAATGACATATTTACTGTCATTGTCTTTCACTCCCCATTTTACATGCTTTCCTCTGAAGGATTAAACAGAGAGAAAACAGTCTGCCTTAAACGCCTCACAGTGAGAGAAAGAATACCACATATGCCATAAATAATTTAGATGAACAATTGCTTTGTCAGAACACAGATGTCTATCACTGCAGCTGCAGCGAGGGCAAGCAGAGGCTGCGGACTGCAGTAACCTGGTGCTGCAGCCCAAGGCTCTTGCAGATGGCAGATGCTGTTGTCAAAGCAGATTATTTTATTTCCACACGACTTTGATGCTGAAGAGCATCGATGAGCAAAGTGTCAACATCCACCCACTCCTCGGGAGCTTGCAGGAGGTTTTTTTGTGCTGTTTGGGTTTGTTTTTTTTTTTTTCCCCCCTTAATCTTGTTTTTCTCCTCTGCACAACGAACTACTTTCAGCTGTTTTTTTTCTTTGCCCCTCTCTACCGTCCTA